AGAGTGTGGTGTGTGTGTGTGGCCAGCTCAGCCCACCAGGGGGCGGGGCTGGCTGGCATGTGGTGCTGGGGGATTGAACCGCGGTCTCCCTGATGCTTTGCTAAGCTTGTTCTAAGTAGGTGCTCTAGACCACTGAGCCATCTCTCCAGCCCCTAATACCCCAATTTTAAAGGTTATGGAAAAAGCATGAAACAATGTCTGCTTTCACAGTGCTTACCAGCCAGTTTGATAGAGAAGACACACATATCAAACTGTCCTGGGTCTGGGGAGATAGCTCAGTGGAATAAGCACTTGCCTGGCAAGCAAAAGGACCTTAGTTCAATCCCTGGTTCCGCAAAAAAAAAAAAAAGAAAACCCGAAAAACTATCCTAGGACATGAAATATTATTTAGGAGAGGCAAAAAAATCCATAGTATAACAAGGATGGTCACAGAGAAACACTGATGCTGAAGTCATGAAAGATTTTGTAAAAGAAGTAGAATATTTATTAAGACCTGAAGCTCTGCCTACTTAGGCAAAGCAAAAGAGAATGAGAACTTTCCAAGGAGTAGGAAGAGAATACACAAAAACAGAAGGGACCCAGAATGAGGACAGGACTCTGATGCCCTAAGTGGAAGGAAAGGTTTGTGACAGCAGGGAGAGGGGGGAGGCAGGAGCCATGTTACCTGCTGTTCCCACAGTGCCTCCTTCCTGTCTGCAGGTGAAGGACGATTCCAGGGCGTTGACTTTAGGGGCGCTGACCCTTCCTCTGGCTCGCCTGCTCACTGCCTCAGAACTCACTCTCGACCAGTGGTTCCAGCTCAGTGGCTCTGGCCCGAACTCCAGGCTCTACATGAAACTGGTCATGCGGGTATGGAAGTGAGGAGGCACCGAGGGGTGGGGAAAGGGCCTGTAGGTTCCTCAGCATGGCGAGGATTAAATAAGGGGTACCTGGGCAAGCACCTGGCAGCTACACAAAAAGCTCACTGATCTGGCTGGGGGCAGAATGGTGTGCGTTGGGAAGGTATGAAGGAAGCATCGAGGGATGAACTCGGCCAAGGCAGGCCCTGGTTCCCAGCCAGAGCCCATGCCCCTGCCCGCCAACCCTAACCTGCTTGGGTTGCCCCTCCTTGAGTGGAGGACCACATGCCCTTCCCAGGTCCTGTACTTGGATTCCTCACAAGTCTGCTTCCCCACGGTGCCTGGCACCGCTGGGGCTTGGGAGCTGGACAGCGAGAGCTCCCCGATGGGCAGCAGTGTGGATGCTCCACCTCGGCCCTCTCGCACCACTCCTGACAGCCACTTTGGGACTGAGGCAAGTTGCTATCTTGAAACCTTTAGGCTGCTTCTTCCCACTTGAAGTGTGCACAGCCTGCTGTGGGCTGATTCAACTGCCATCTGGTCCCCTTTCTTTCCCTTTTGCAGAACGTGCTTCGGATTCATGTATTAGAGGCCCAGGACCTGATTGCCAAAGACCGTTTCTTGGGGGGACTGGTGAAGGGCAAGTCAGACCCCTATGTCAAACTAAAGCTGGCGGGACGAAGCTTCCGGAGCCATGTTATTCGGGAAGATCTCAACCCTCGCTGGAATGAGGTTTTTGAGGTCAGAACTGAGTGGCTAGGACTCCTCTCAGTCTATTTTTCCTTCCAGCATTAGAGTGGCCCCAAAACCTATGGGGTTCAGTTGACTGGGGGTTAGAGGAATGGGAAATGCAGTTATTTGGAGTGGGAAAGGAGAGCATTCTCTCTCATCTGCACTGTGTTTGTTCTCACTAGGTGATCGTCACATCGATTCCAGGCCAAGAGCTAGAGGTTGAAGTCTTTGACAAGGACTTGGACAAGGATGACTTTCTGGGCAGGTGAGACTCAGGAGCAGGGCCTCTAAGGCTCCTGGAGCCTGACCATTTGCCTCACATCTTCTCTTTCTCCACAGATGTAAAGTGAGTCTCACCGCAGTCCTAAGCAGTGGCTTCCTGGATGAGGTGAGCATGACTTAAGGTAGACAGGTGCTTCAGATCTTCCCCAGACCTCACCCTCTTCATTCCCGTCCCCCCATTCTCCAGGCTTACCCCGTCTGTTTCCACAGTGGCTGGTCCTGGAGGATGTCCCATCTGGCCGCCTGCACTTGCGCCTGGAGCGTCTGACCCCCCGGCCCACTGCTGCTGATTTAGAGGAGGTGTGGGGGTTGGAGAAAGGAGAGGGACCGGGCTCGGCTTCCAAGGCCCAGGGGACAGCTGGCAGCCCAGCCCCTTTTGTGCCCTCCCAGGTGCTGCAGGTGAACAGTCTGATCCAGACACAGAAGAGCGCAGAACTGGCGGCAGCCTTGCTGTCTGTCTACCTAGAACGGGCTGAGGGCCTGCCGGTGAGCTGTTCCCCTGGCCCATCCCTCCCTCAGGTGTGGATGCTCCTTGTGGATTTGGAGCAGTAAAGGGCACCTTTCTCCTGGGATGTGAGGATCATCCAAGGCCACAAGAGTGGTAGCTGTCAGGAAAAGTGGAGATGCAGCAGATAGCTGTGGCTGTACTTTGTGAGGGGAGGACCTGATTCAAAATTTAAGACTAACTGTATTCTCTTTCCAGCTCCGAAAAGGCACCAAGCCTCCCAGCTCTTATGCTACTCTTACTGTAGGGGAGACAACTCATAAAACTAAGGTATTTGGAGAGTGGGAGGGAGGGCTGGCGAGATAGCTCAGTGGACAAAGCACCTGCTTTGGCAAGTGTAGGGACCAGGGTTCAATCCCTGCATGCCGTGCCGGCCCTGCCCCTAAGCACACCGAGCCCAGACATAGTGGTACAAGCCTATAATCCCAGCACTGCGGAGGCTAAAAATAGGATCACCATGAGTCCGATCTGCGTAGTGAAACTCTATACCACATACACACGAAAAAAAGAAAATGGGAGGGAAGGCAGGCATGGTACCTGCATAGTAAGCTCTAGGCTCATCTGAACTATGTAGTGAGATCCAGACTCGAAAGAAAGAAAAGGACTGGAGAAAGAATGCTGGGCATGGTGGCATAGGCCAGTTCTGTAATCCTAGCATTCTGAAAGGAGGCTGAGGCAGGAGGATTGCAAGGAGGACTGCAAGTTCAAGCCAAACCTGGTCAGAAAAAAAAGAATGGGAGATAAAGGAGGAGTAGAGATCGCATAAGCCATTAATCATAGCCTCTCGTCTCCCATCAGACAGTTTCCCAGTCATCGGCCCCCGTCTGGGATGAGAGTATGTCCTTTCTCATCAGGAGGCCACCTTCCGAGAACCTGGAGCTTCAGGTAGGGGACACAGCATGCGCTCCAGACACGGCACAGATTCCCACCGTGGGTCAGGCCCGCAGCCGAGTGCGGGGCCGTCAGAGCTGAAGACCCAGCTCTTGTTGAGCTTGGGGGCGGAAGCCTGTCATCCCTGCACTGGCGTTCCTGCTGAAAAATAACCAGAAAATACTCTTTTCAGAAGAAAAAGGCACTGTGGAGAAAGAAGGGTATAAGACACTAAGGAAGAGGTGGAGGCATAAGAAAGGCATCCTTGGAGCTGACAGGCCCCGACAGGAAAAGGGCCAGAAAACATGTCAGGCTGAAAACCAGAAAAGACAGATTTACTATTGATTAGAGAGGCAGGCAGGAGCAAGATCAGAAAAGCTCTTAAATATTATGCTAAGAATTTAGAGCTTAGGCCAGGCCTGGTGGTGAATGCCTGTAATCCCAGCACTCAGGAGGCTGAGGTAGGAGGACTGCCACAAGAGTGGCAGATGCAATAGATAGCTGTGGCTGTACTTTGTGAGGGGAGGATCTGTTACAGCTGAGCCAGGCCAGTCTGAGCTGTAACATAGTAAGATCTTGTCTCAAAATATGTAAAATAAAAATTTTGGAGTCTAATAGGGGTTTTATGGCATAATTAATGGTTAGCACTTCGGACTCTGAATATGGGGTTTATCCTAAAAGTTTAGGGAAACTTGTAAGCATGAACAGGCTGAAAACAGGAGAAGCACTATGAGTCCGAGCTGTGTAGTGAGACCCTGTAGCAGATATTTAAGAAAAAGAAAGAAAGAAAGAAAAAGTGGGCTGGGGAGACAGCTCAGTAGAACAAGCACTTGCCTAGCAAGAGCAAGGTCCTTAGTTCAATCTCCGGTACTGCCAAAAAAAAAAAAAAAAAGTGAGTTGGAGACCACCTGGGTGACACCTTATCTTAAAAAGACAAACTAGGCCAGAGACATTGCTCAGTGGCGTAAGCTGCAGCCTGGCAAGCACAAGGTCTTGAGTTAGGTCCCTGGTACCAAAAGCAAAAAAGAGCTGGGGATGTAGTTTACTGAGAAAACCCTGGTTCAATCCCCAGTATTTTTTAATTTTTTTAGTACCTGAAGTTGAACTGAGGACCTTGTGCTTGCCCTGCAGGTGCTGTGCCACTGAGCTATAACCTGGCTGCCCAACCCCCAGTACTGAGAAAAGAGAACTGGGGAATAGAGCTCAGGGGTGGAGCACTCGCCTGGCTCACTTGAAGCCTGGATTAGATCCCCAGCCCTAGGGGATAGGAGGACGGCTCCCAGAGCTTTACAAAGAAGAACCTCAGCAGGCCAAATAGCTCAGCAGGCTAAAGTGCCTGCTTAGGCAGACTAGCAGCCAGGGTTCGATCTCTGGCGTGCCTTGCTGGCCCCATAACTTACCAATCAATGCCTTTGCCTCTGGTCACAGTCCTTTTAACCCCCACAGGTGCGGGGTGAGGGAACAGGCGCCCTGGGCTCATTGTCGCTGCCCATTTCGGAACTCCTGGAGGCAGAGGGGCTCTTCCTCGACCGCTGGTTCACGCTCGCCAATGGTCAGGGCCAGGTGCTGCTGAGAGCACAGCTGGGGGTGAGTGCGGAGCCCGTGAGCCATGGGGCAGGGCGGGGACCAAGCACAAGCGGCTGAGAGCACTCTCGGGCTTCTCCCCCAGATCCTGGTGTCTCAGCACTCAGGCGTGGAAGCCCACAGCCACAGCGCCTCCTCCTTGGCCGAGGAGCCCGAGCTCTGGGGCGGACATTCTCACACTGCTGCCTCCTCCTCGGCCCCAGAGCTCCGCCAACGCCTCATCCATGGTGACAGGTGAAGGACTGGGCAGGAGGGGGCATGCAGGCAGTGTAGAAAATAGGGAGTTGTGGGCTCCCTAGGCGCCGTGCCCCAGACTTACCTCCATCTCTCCACAGCCCTGTCGAGGCTCCCGCGGGGCCTCTGGGCCAGGTGAAGCTGACCATATGGTACTACGGTGAAGAGCGAAAGCTGGTCAGCATTGTCCACGGCTGCCGGTGAGCCCTGCCCCCTGCCTCCAGGGCCCCTTCCACTCTGCCCTCAGTTACTAATCATGGCATCCCTTGTCACAGGGCCCTTCGGCAAAATGGACGGGATCCCCCTGACCCCTATGTGTCATTGTTGCTACTGCCAGACAAGAACCGAGGCACCAAGAGGAAGACCTCTCAGAAGAAGAGGACCCTGAATCCTGAATTTAATGAACGGTCAGCCTGGGCATCCATGTGGGGACAGGGACTTGCAGTGAGCCCGTGGCCCTGACAACTGCCCCTTCCCTAGGTTTGAGTGGGAACTGCCCATGGACGAGGCGCTCAGGCGAAAGCTGGATGTCTCGGTGAAGTCCAGTTCCTCCTTCATGTCTAGAGAGCGTGAGCTGCTGGGGAAGGTGAGAGGCCAGGCGAGGCCAGGGTGGAAGCATACTGAGGGACACTGTGGAGGTGACACTGTCACCTGTAGTGGTTTGGGACCAGAAGTGTGTGCTGGCAGATATGGTCTTTGGAGGAGTCTAAGTGTCCTGTCCTGGCTCTCTGCCGCAGGTGCAGCTGGATCTGGCCGAGACAGATCTGTCCCAGGGCTTGGCCCAGTGGTGAGTCTGCGTGGTGGGGGGTGGGCTGCTGTCTAAGCAGAGAAATCCACTGTCCATTGATCACAGGAAGATGTAACAAGGTGTAATCCAAGCTGAAAACCACTTATTCTGTCAATAGCACTGTGTCTTATTTATTTTTGTGGTACCAGGGATTGAACTCAGGACCCTGCGCTTGCCAGGCAAGCGCTTATACTACTGAGCTATCTCCCTGGCCCCTGTGTCTCCTTTATAAAAGGACTGAAGTCTAGGGCTGGCCAGATAGCTCAGTGGATTAAAGTTTAGGCAGAGTGCAACAGCTGGGGTTCAATCCCTAGCCTGCCCTGCTGGCCCTGCCCCGGGGCACGCTGAGACAGTGATTGAGACTGGGCGTAGTGGCGCACTTGCAATCCCAGCACCTGGGAGGCTGAAACCAGGAGAATCACTAGGAGTCCAGTCTGTGTAGTGAGACCCTGTAGACCCTGTACTAAATACAAAAAAAAAAAAAAAAGGACTGAAGTCAACTTCCACCTAAGCCCTCTCCTTTCCCTAGGTATGACCTGACAGATGACAAGGACAAGGGTAGCTCCTAGGAGCTGGCAGTGACCAGCTGGACTCCGCCCTGTTTCTGCCTTGCCTGTCGCCACATCACTGCCTCAATGTGATGAACCCAAAGCCAGGGCCTCAGGCTGAGCCCTTTGGCCCTTTGCCCTCAGGCCTGAACTAGGGCCTTTGCCTGACCAAAGAGAAGTACCCCACGTTCTCCTTTACTGCATGGCCTTCATCCTTGGGCCCTGGGGCCGGGCCTGGGCTGGCTATTTCCTGCTCTGCCTGCACGCTGTTCTCCTTATTCTACTCCTCAGGGCCTTCATACCCGTGCCTGACCACTGGCAGCACCAGCAGTGGCATTAGCTTGCGCCAAATAGATTCCGGAAGGACCTTTCTTTCTCTGGATGGGCCCCTTCCCTGCCACGGGCACTGGGGGTGGATGTGTGGGGAAAGAAGATAGCTAAGCTCCTCAGCTGTGGGCCTCTTGTACTACTGCATGTAACAAACGCACAGCGAAGCAGGCCGCATCCAGTCCTGTCCCCATCTTCATCCAGCCTATCCTGGAAACACCATTAGGATGACAGGCCAGTCTCCTGGTTCCAGTGGTGAATCAGGAAAACTTGTTCTACCTAAACCTTCAAGCAGTGGGTGCCAGTCTTGAAGCCCCAAGCTGGTGAAGTGAGATGGCCTTAAAGGACTCAGGACGGCAAAGCCAATTTTTTTTGTCCAAGTGCCTGGGTTATAAACTCACAGACCAGAACTAAATCTGATGTTCTTACTTTTGCACCAACTCTGTCAATCCACTGTATCTTACATTAAACATTTTACTCAAACCAGCTGTGGTATTCTCCTTAAGCAATGGGAATCTAAAGCTGGGCGTAGTGGTGCACATCATCATGAGGGAGGCTGAGGCAGGAGGATCGCTGCAAGTTTAGGACCTGCCTGAATTACATAGTGAGAGCCTGTCTCAAAACTGAACAAAAAGAAATGGAAATCTAACCTGCTCATCAGATGTTTATTCCTTTTTTATTTATTTGTGTGTGTGCGTGTGCGTGTGTGTGTGTGTGTGTGGCCAGCTCAGCCCACCAGGGGGCGGGTCTGGCTGGCATGTGGTGCTGGGGGATTGAACCACGGTCCATATGATTTGCTAAGCTTGTTCTAAGTAGGTGCTTTAGACCACTGAGCCATCTCACCAGCCCCAGATGTTTATTCCAACAGAGGACTTCATTCAATTTGCAAACCAGGTCAGTTTAACAGACCTCCTATGATGCAGTACAGTCCCGTGAAGGATGTCAAGGGTCCTACATGAAGGGGCTGCAGAGATGAGGCTCATTCATCATGTGAATCTTGAGCATTTGTCTGCTAACCATTGTTATCTTGTGGCCTTCCTAGGGGAAGGATCCTGAGCCCTGACAGCAGTTCTGGGCCGCAGCACAGGCTTGGTGTCTGCCATCAGGTCCACACGCAGAACCCTCTAGGTGCACTGGACAGGCATCTGAGGGCTATTTTACATGCATTCTGATGGGGCCTTGAACCCTGCTCCTTGCAGGAACTTTTTTGGAATGCAAGCTGTGGGGGCCGTGCGGCCCTGTCCTGTGAAGTGAGTGAGAGGGCAACTAGACATTCCAAGTTACTAGTGGAACTGGAATGTAGGAATTTCCTAATGCCCCAGAGGGCGAGTTACCATCTCTGGACCTAAAAACCTTAGGATCCTCCATACTGTGAGGAGAAAAAAAGACTCAGGAAAGGACTAAATTTTTTTTTTTTTTGTACTTTAGGGAAGGGTCTACAGGGTGTTCAGGGTCTCACTACTAGATTAGACTGTACTGATCCGCCTGTTTACAGCCTCCCAAGAGTTGGGATTACAGGTGCGTGCCATCACACTAAGATTCAATCACCTTTTCAGCGTGCCCCAGGAGCATGGCCAGGGCAGGCACAGCAGGCCCGGGGATCGAACCCCTCGCTTTAATCCACTAGGCTATGTGGCCGGCCCTAAGAACTAAATTCAGTTTCCCAAATTCTCAATATTCTCTTTAGTGGTAAAAATGGTTGTGCACACCTATGATCCTAATACTCCAAAAGCTGAGGCAGGAGGATTGTGGAGAGTTCAAAGCCAGCCTCAACTGCATAGAAAACCCTATCTCGGAGAACAAAACCCCCTCAATTTATTTGAGACCAGAGTTTCTCTGCAGTTCAGACTGCCCCTGCCCTTGAACTATATAGTCCAGGGTGGCCTTGAACTCATGGCAGTCTTCCTGCCTTGCCTTCCCAAGTGCCAGGATTACAGGTTTGCCCCACCACACCCAGGAGAAATAAGCCCTGACTACACTGCCACTGCCCAACACAGCCACTGTGTTTTCAGAGATCCCTCTGTATTCTCTTCTGGTTCCACGGCCTGCTTCCTTCTCACCCAACTTTTAAGTATCCCAAGCATCAGTGCCTCCTCCATTACTCCAAAATCTTGTGGGGAGAAACTCCAAAGCAGGACAGAAACCGTTAAGGTCTCTTTTGTAATTATACCAGGCACATGCCCAAGGCCTGCTCTTGCTGGCAGATAATACAACCAGTGATTTTCTGTGTGATTTTAAGAAATACTCAACCTACTTCATTGCTTTAATTGCACTTATGAAAAACTAGAAGGTACAACTTCTGAAAGGAACCAAACTCTCTTTTCTTTTTTTTTCCTTGCATGGTGCTGGAACTCAAACCCAGGATCCTGATTGTGGCAAATTCAGGATACATATAGGAGTAGCAGCAATTTATTAATAAGAAATAATTCAATACATGGTTGTACTTATATATGCAAAGATGAAGCAAATTAAGGTCATTAAATGAAAGTACTTTTGTACTTTCAACCGGGGATTGAACTCAGGCCCTTGTGCTTGCCAGGGAAGCACTTATTTTACTGAGCCATCTCCCTGGCCCAAAAGTTCAGTAGGATTTTTTTTTTTTGGCTGGCTCCGGATGCCTTCAGGGGGCAGGTCTGGCAAGGCTCGAGGATCTGGGGATCAAACCACAGCATCCTGAGCCTGACTGCTTTGCTTAAGAAATCACTTAAAGGGGGCTGGTGAGATGGCTCAGTGGTCTAAAGCACCTACTTAGAACAAGCTTAGCAAAGCACAGGGACCGCGGTTCAATCCCCCAGCACCACATGCCAGCCAGCCCTGCCCCCTAGTGGGCTGAGCTGGCCCCCCACACACACACACACATAAATAAAATTAAAAAAGAAACCACTTAAAAACTGCTAAGCTAATGGGCTGGCCCCCAAAAGTACTTATGTTTGTGTGTGTTGTCTTTCTGAGATGGTCTTGCTGTGTACTTCAAGTGGGCCTTGAACTCACTATGTAGCCCAGGCTGGCCTCAAACTTGCCATGATCCTCCTGCCTCAGCCTCCCTCATGCTAGAATTACAGGTATGTACCATCACACCTGGCTTTTTTTTTTTTTGGTGCATCCCTGGAATTGAATTCAGGACCTCGTTCTTGCCAGGCAGGTGCTAGGCCACTGAGCTATATTCCTGGCTCACTTTTTCTTTTTAGGAGGTAGGGTTTTTTTTTTGGTGGAACCCAGTATTGAACTCAGGCCCTTGCACTTGCCTGGGAAATACTTATTCCACTAAGCCATCTCCCCAGCCCCGGAGGTAGGGTTAACCATCCAGTGCAGGCTGGCCTCACACTTCCAGTGATCTTCCTGCCTCTGCCTCCATGCTGGCACTACAGATATGCGCTACCATGCGTGGCTTGTACTTATTTCTCAAAACAGCTTACTTTTATGCTGACACATGGAGTGCCTGCATACCTTGCCCAGAGAAAGGTAGCTATGGCAGCATCCGGTACCCTGCCACTGCTATTTGCAAACACTACCACCTTTTTTTTTTTAAACACTACCTTCTTATATCCATTCGGCCTTACCACAGCAAAGTACTATATATAGTTAACTGGGCATGGCAACACTGCTGTCCGCCTTAGCCCTTTCCCCTCTTCCCTACACGTGGGACCGTGCAGCACTCCTGGGAGCCGTGTGCCAGCCCCAGGGGATTCATGACAGCCTTCTTTGCTAGGTATTCACTTCCCCAGCTCTTCTGCAATGTGGGAGAATTCTGACCCAGTCCTGGTTTGCAAGATGGAAGGGGACTACAGTTGGAGAGAAGGGTGTCCTGCCGTCTCATGTCCCTGTCTCTGTCCTTTTTCTGTGCGTGCGTGCGTGCGTGTGTGCGTGCGTGTGTGTGTGTGTGTGTGTGTGTGTGTGTGCTGGGGATTGAGCTCAGTCTCACAATTCCTTTTTTCTTAGGTTGTTAGTATGAGGATGTGACCCCTGGAAATGCAGGAGCCTTGTTCTTCTTTTCTCTTTTGCAGAACTAGGGATGGAACCCAGAGCTTTCACACTGAGCTAAGTAGTTTTTGGTACTGGGAATCAAACTCATGGCCTAGCACTTGCCAGGCAGGGCTGTGCCACTGAGCTATATCCCTGGCCTAACATTTTTTAATTTTTACTTTTTCAGATAAACTGTCACTGCAGGGCCGGCGAGATAGCTCAATGAACTACAGTGCTTGCTTAGGCAAGCTTAGGCAAGTGCAGAGACCGCAGTTAGATTCCCAGCACCACTTGCCCCATCTCCGGGGCGGGCTGAGCTAGCCATAGTCCAAGCATAGTGGTGCACGCCTATAACCCCAATGCTGGGGAGGGTAAAAGTAAGGTGGCTCACCACAAGTCCAAGCTGTGTAGTGAGACCCTGCAACAACCAAGTACATTAAAAAAAAACAAAAACAAAAAACTGTCACTGCTATTAAATTTTTTTTTTCAGATAAGGTCTTGTTAAGTAGCTCAGGTTGGCCTTAAACTTGTGGAGACCCTTCTGCCTCAGCCTCCAAGTAGGTGGAACTATAGGTGTATGGCATGCCCTGCCTTTAAGGTTTATAGTTCTTTACAGCAGTCTTGCTCTTATATTTCCGGTAGTACCTAGCTGGGGAAATAGTACATAAAACTTTGCTCTAAGATTATAAAAACTGACAGGTAAAAGATTGTTGTCTGTGAAAAGGCTGACTTATAGCAGTGATGAACAATAGTTATTGCTGGGTGTGGTGGTGAATGTTTGTAGTTCCAGCACTGAAAAGGCTGAGGTATCTGAGTCACTTGAGTTTATGGCCAGCCTGGGCCACATACTGAATTCAAGGCCAGTCTCAGCTATAGAGCAAGTCCTTGTCTCAAAACAAAATAAAAGGACTGGTGAGATGGCTCAGTGGTCTAAAGCACCTACTTAGAACAAGCTTAGCAAAGCACAGGGA